AAATATTTATGTCCGGGGGCCTTTTTAAAGTATATCGGGTATTTTAACATATTTGTTATAACTCATAAGTCATAATGGTTACTCATAAAGTCATAACATTTAAACGTTTCTTACTTTCGCCATACGGTTAGAGCTATAAAATAATTCCCCAATGGTACCTATGTAATAAAAATGAAAAATTTGCCATATATAAGTTTGAGTTTCCTAAGAAAGTGACAGATCTGTAGTGCTTAACTGTTTAAATTATAGATCTAGGGTAATATATTAAACCGAATTGAAGCATAACTTTTCTGACTTCATTCAATATTGGCTAGAAATACGGAATTTTAGTTTCCGGTGTCTTACTTATATGGGTATAAAATATTTACAGGACGAATGTTCAATTACGCTCAAACCAGTGGACCCTAGTGGGTATTAAACTGAAAATGTAAACAGATGAGAACAATTCCATTTAATTGAATTTCCTCGTAATCTGAAATTAAAGTTTGTTTCTTTGACTTAATAAACACTTTAAATCTATCAATTAAATACACAAGTATTGTCATATCACCTGAAAAAAGTTTAGTTAAAAATAGGTAAATAGTACAATGCTATTGATATCTAATATACGATTTGCAAACTAAAAATATTCGATAGGCTCTTAAACTTTTTAATAATTGCGTTTGTGACAAATACACCATAATAAAGTTCACATGATGTTTTAAAACCATTAAATTCCATATTTCCTGTTGAATCTAAAAATAGTTTGTATTTATTCCATTTTTAATCGATAATAGGTATAATTTTCTCAATTGCTGAATTTTATATAATATTTTAATACATAGTAATATAGTATTATATAATTTATGGCTATGTGGTTTTAAATTGTATAGTTTCGCCGAACTTTTAATTTTAAGATAAGTTATAAAAATGTACTATATTACTTAGTTAAATATTTGTATACAATATAAATTGAGTAAATAAACGATTTGGCACAAATAAATATCACACAAATAGAAATATTAATTATGATAAAGACTTTTGAACTTTGATTCATATATTATTATGATCGTTCCAAACACATCTTGGTGAAAAATCCAAATATTAATGTGTACTGTGTAGGACTACAACAAAAAAAAATCACAGGGAGTTGCACATATGAATTTATTTATTGTTCTAATGGTTAAATGCCACAATGTTGTCTACGTTTTAATCGTATTTGCCCAAACAATACATTAACGGAATTGTTTACGTTGTTAGTTGTTACCTTTTTATCTAGAGAGACTTAAAAATAATTATTATTAGTTAATTATAAATTATTATTTAGGCTTTATCTATTCAGAACTCAAATCTGTGTATATAAATAAGTATTTTGTTAATATCTTTTGAAGCATGACAAAATTACTATATAATTATTCTCTTATGATTTTTAGATTGTATAGTAAGTGTAGTAAGTAGTTTTTTCACCTGTTCTGCCACAACAAGTATACAATATACTAGTTCCTATACATAATATGAATTATATTTACTATATTTACTATATTTCAACAATTATGTGCTATATTCACCATCAAATATTTTATGGATGTCTATAGTAATTTAAGTTATATATACTTATTCTACAATTAATTAAAAGAAGTAGTGATATGTATTCATCAAATTTTAAATATATTACCACTGCACGTAAAACTATAATATAATGTATATTTTTAGTATTAACTACATTTGTTATTTTAACTTTTATTTATCTAAGTACCTACCCATAATATACAGTTTAATGTTGTGCTTGAGTGAATTAGCAATATAAAACTCGTAACTATAAATTGTCAATTGTCGACGACTCTAAGACATTTTCTTTTGAAGAATTATTTTTGAACATAAAAACGTGACGCTTAAGGTTCAGCACGTTTATGATCCTTGTTACATTGTTCGTTTGAATTAAATTATTTTTTTGTATGAAATTAAATATTTTTATTTTTATAATGACGATAAGTCAAACTTTAAAACCAATTAAAAGAAAAAACTTGAGGCTATGAAGTTAGTACCATGGTACTAAGTACTAAGTATTTTTAAACGTAAATACCAAAACAAGATTTTTAAAAAGTTAATCTAGAAATATTTTGGTATACTTTTAACAGAATAAACATCAAAATATCAAAATAAAAAATTAGTTAAGCCTCAAGTAATTATAATACTATATATTATATTTATATAATTAGATTTATTTATACTAATGTTTGAATTTATATAGATTACAAAAAATATATTGTTAATGTTAAGCCACTTAAATTCGTGAACAGAAATAGGTCCGGAATATATATATTTATTAGACTAATGGAAATTTGTTGTATTAAGTATCAGGTGGCTTTTATCGGAGTAAAAGGAAGTTATTCTAGTTATCTAAGAAAGTTTATAAAGGTGTATTCGTCGATCCATATAATTGTTTTGCTATAATATATGATCATGATTATCAATGGAACATTTAACAATTATTATACAGCATAAATTATTAAAACGAATTATTGGTACTTATTCTAAATTATCTCTTTACTTTGAAATAATACTACACTTTTATTTGTATTAAGAAAATAATACATCATTATTTTAATTATTAATTGTTTGTGAATATAATACTACTATCATTTTCATGAAAAAACTTTACAGCTTAAAATATAAATTTGTACCTAGTGAAAATTAAATTATGTCTAGAAATGTCTTAATTTATTCGTTAACTTTTTACTTATAATTTGCTTAAAAGTTAAATAGATAACAACTTTAAATTTGTGACGTTAGCTCTCCGAGAAAATCTTGAACAACATTGATAACAGCAGTATTTATTGTAAGTTGTAATTAAAGTCAATGAAAACACTGTGCTCCTAACACCTGTTTTTATTTAAGGATTAGTCACATTTTCAAACAGTTTCTATTTTGGTGTATTTATAGTTTTATTATTATTTTATGTGAACATAATTACAAAGTATATTTAGGCGACTAAACGAACAGGTAATCCAATTTTCAACTTTATTCGATCATCCGGAGTTTAGTCTAACCGGAGTCCTTACTAAAGTTGTATACACACAACTCACAAGTAGGTAACAGTTATTATAGCTTTCAACAACAAACAGGTGCTAACATAGATACTTTGATATCAAATTATATACATTTGTTTTATGTATTGATTTTCGTTTTAAACTAACAGAATTCAAAAATAGTTATGAATTATAAAATGGAAATTATTTTAAGTGTTTTTTTAAAATGTACCAGGTACCTATTGTAATAACTACAGAAGTTATGATTGAAAACAATAAACGTATTCGATATAGGTACACCATAAGAAATATTTAACCGTAAAAAGAGAAAATTGGTTTGCCTCGACACAAATAATAAAGTATACCGTCTGCGGGAAACATAAAGTACAATATAGCAATTTCTAATACGTGCAGTAATAATGTTGTTTTGTACGCCAAACGTTGGATTATATAGTGTTCTATATTGTGCGTCATAGCCTAGAAGATAAATTAATTAATTTGATAGTGTAGCGGTTACGACGACGTATTTGTTATTTTTAACACATGGCCCAATCCAGAAATGGCCCCACAGATAGCATTTTCCGAGTACTACTCACGCACACGTACACGCCATCAACATCCTCCCCTAGTTTTAGTTACTACCTCCTCCCCGAATACACACTTAAAATGCCGTATGGACAGTTTGTTAAGTTCCATTTGGGGAATTTTTGATTTGACAGTAGGATAAGTTTTTTGTGTTATTAATTATTCTAATAAATGAAAAGCAGTAGGAAGGTTGGAAAAAATGAAGAAAATATTGAAAACGGTCTATTGCGTCAGTTAATTTTTCTACATAAATACGAAAAAAATAATATATTTTTGATACCTATCTAAATCCAATAGAAACGATGTCTGCAATATTTACCTAAACTACCTATGTCAAATGTATTTCAATTCAATAAAAACGACAGGTGTTATCGGTTTTACAATGATGTTTTTGATTTGTCTGTAAATGTGATCGATATTAGAAAGAGTGTTTCGTGAATTTTTTACTTTATATTGAAAAAATCTTATAACATTATATGATATTACAATATAAATATGTGTATATTCAATTTATATTTATATTTACATTTTATGAAGATTAACTACATAATGCGTTATTATAACATAAATTAGAAAGTGGTTAGGTTAACTCGACATTTTTTTTTTTTTGTGAAGTTTATAAATTCTCAGGCTAATAGACTAATATTATGGCGATTTGCTTAAAATAATAATAAATTGTTTATATTAGGTATTTGCAGTTTTTACTTTTATGTCATGAAAATGTACTACTTACTTTTAAAATAAATTATTCTAGTAATAGAGTAATTTATATATTTTTAAATTGTTAAAATATCAAGTTATTTTAGGTCTTATTACTCGAAATTTGATCAGGAAATAATTTTCCTGTGTTCTATAATAGGGTCAAAAAAAAAAAAATAGAAATAATAAGAAATAATGTGGTCAGCACTGAGACAAAAAAGAGGGTGTTTAAACTATCAAAACCGGAGTTCTTTATATTATGGGTCACCCTATAATGTATAAAATTGTTATAGTGAATTACGTTTAATGAGCCATCTCTCGGCTTTCTTGCTCTATTTTATTTTAAGATAAAAGTAAAAAAAAATATTGAGTTTATAGGGCTAAGCCCGTCGACGTTCTTTCTCGGTTCAAATCATTATACCGTTTGGGCATGATATCGAATTTATCTTATTAAAATCTTGTAATATTAAAGCTAACTTTATTACCCATCATGAGTTACTTTATTAATATCTTGCTATTCGAGTCAAGCTCTTTAGGTTTTCGAAATCCGGTTTTTCATTACGGCATTACCACACTTAGTAGTTATAATACACAATATACTATCGGGTAATTATTTACGACTATACTATATCTAGAGATCGCAGTCCTGACTGCGGTATTTCACCGGAACATAGATGTTAAATGAGCGTCTCACAAATAATCACTCACCGATGTGCTTGGACTCGTTGAAGGCTTCCGGGATGTTTCTGGTGAGCACGGCGTACACGGTGCACACGACAATCAACACTATTGGATATCCAAACGCTATCACGTACGATGTGTTGATGAACGACGAGCAGACTAGTATGTTTGCGTCCCTGCTGGGGTAATAGTGTATGACCTTTGGTGGGCTGACCAGCATCCAAACGCCGTTGATGAGCACCTGAAACGTGGTCGTCCATACGAAACGTGTGTATAGGTAGAAGGTACCGATGTTTCCGTTACATTGCATTATAGACACGCAGCTGTTGTAAATTTATCGGTTATTATGGAGCGTTTGGTTTATTTGTTTTATTATATTTTCGACACTATTAGTGTGTGCCAACACGCGCGTGATATATAGAATATATATTTGTGAAACGTAAAAAAATCATCTTAGCTCGAACTATACAAGGATTCGCATCCAGTATAGTAAGTTTATTCCAAACGTGTTCATTGCAGTCTATACATATAACATTTTTTGTATTGAAAACAGTATGTGAATGTAGTTATTTTCGGTTAAAATAATAAATATATATATATATATTATTTTATGCACATAATATGTACATATATACATCTATGATTCATTCAACACGACGTACTATATACGTGTTCAGTGTTTCTTACGGGCAAATGTTAAAATATCCGGTGTAACCCAAACGGCTCTCATCCATTGTTTGTTGGTTCCAAAAACGGCTCCCGTCGTAAAAGGTTCACGAATACGTAAATTCCCAAACGGTTCCGGTATTCGCCAACATAAATTCTAAATTTAAAATCGATAGCTTGTGTGGTATGCTGAACTAAAATTGACGGTTAATCGGTGACAATAATAAGGGCTTCAAATAGGTACAGATAGTCGTTTCCCTCCTGAAATGTGGTCTGAGTGTACAGCTTCCCCCTTTTTTTGACTACAAATGGCTGTGAAACGTTCCATTGTAAATTCAACAACGAATTCAATACTGCTGATCTCGACATTTTTAAGGTTATTACTTATTGACATACTGACCGAAATACAATCCAAGAAACAAATAAAAGCCCGCAGTTATGTCAATACTCCTAGCAGCAAAGAATAAAAAAAAACATCAAGAATTTGGTGATGCCATTATTGATAAATTGTCATCTAATGAAATGTCGAGAATGGAATTTATAAAAAAATCGTGCCTCAATAATTTACCTTTGGCTTAAAGAATGTAAAATTTTGTACTTTATTTTGAATAAAAAATCTAAAAAAAATTAAAGAAAAAACACCAAAACAAACAATTTTAACCTAGACTCTTTTGATACAGGCCTAAGTCTGTGTGAAGTGTGAAAGAAATTGTGCTGTCAAAAACCGGAAAAGTTTGGGAATTGACCTTATTATAAAATGGGAGCCATTTGAGAAAAGCAAAAGCCAAATTGGCTATAGTCAAAATATTAACCAGACATAATATTATATCATTGACACAAGCCAAATCCCATACACGATTTTATTTCAAAGACTTTTTTAATTGAATAAATTGTATTTTCATTATTTTCATTATTTAAGCAATAGGGTTTTAAACAACAGCCTAATATTTACAGTTAAATGTCAATAGATAGATCAAAAAATAAATTAACGGTTGAACGTGTCTTTCTAGTTATTAAATGTCTGCCGATGTATAACGTTAATGGATATCATCCAGACAACAGAATTTAATTTAAAGAAATTCGAGACTAAGCTTTTGAGACGTCTAGACTAGTTTTAAAAGAACAAATTTGAAATTAATAATACTCTTGGCGCGTAGTTAATTGTTTTAAACAAAAGCTACTTTTACGTAAAAAGTTACTTACAATGTGAAAACATAATAATACCAATTTTATATACTTGATAGTTGATATATTAATTTTATGTATGTCATAAACAGATAATATTAAAATGTTTTGGATATTAAAACAATCGAATCGTTATGGGACAGTTGAAAACATACAAATTCAGAATATCTTTCTCGATAAGGTACACAAAAATAACATACTTGTATCGATATAAGTCCTGTGCAGATGACCAGTTGTGATTTTGGTGATATAAAATTGGGACGTTTAACAGTTCGCCGTCCAGCGTTGAATATGCGTGATATGCGATTCGTCTTCGTTAATAATGCAGCATACACAACAGTGAAACAGAATCCAACACCAAATCTGAAACATAAATGAATAAATAACTTCACGGTTTGAGTTCATAGCTATTTTATCATATTCCAAGAAAGTGTATGTTGATTCTATCAATTGTTTAAATATTTTATTTTTACTGTTTACGAAAAAGTCAACTTTTGAAACTTTATAATTATATTTAGTTTAGTATTTGTGAATATGAAACCCTTAAACTTAAAGTACATCGCCTCAAAAAAATCTAAAATATCATATGATCCATAAAAATTAATGAATTCAGTACATACACTGTTACACTAAATTGTGTCCTGCTAAAAAAACTTAAGATGACGCCACAAGGGCATTTGTTGTGTCCATCTTATAAAAGTACAACATAGACAATTGTACATTCACAATAATACATTTAAGTCTGCAAATTCTTAAATCAGAGAGAATTCACTTCTTATACAATTTGAAGACAAGAATATTATGTAGAGCATCTCAGAGGATTTTATTAGTATTATTATTTTTAAGTAAATTATGATCATTTTAAAATGTGCAAAAAATGTACATTGCCTATGTGGCGGTAGGTCAACTAAAATAATATAACCACTTCACTTTGAGATCTGATGCCTAAGTTATTTGATAATTTTTTTTTAAAAAAGTCATTCAAGGTGTAACATGAAAGTAAAGTGAGGTTTTAAAAATTAAAAAATTGTGTTACCTATAATAATGTATTATTAAAGAAACAGTCTCGAAACAAAAGATTACAAAGTACAGACATGTACTATGTATATACGAAACATGAAGTTTTTAATCAAATTTAAATAGTATGTACATATTCTAATTTAAGGTTAGAACAGAACTAATTAACAGATGAAATTAAAACTGACGTGAATGCCGTGATGTTTAATTAAAACTGTCAAAATGACGAAATTGTCATTTTCGTTCACAGGGATTATATTTTATGGTAACAGTTTCAAGAACACAGTAATTGTATATAGACATTGAACGTGTGTAACGAATTAAATGCATTGTGAATCATTTCTGACAACTGAAGTAATTTATCAATCTCAAAAACTATAAGTTTTTATAATTATTAACGAGATTTGTAATCAAGAGTCAGCTAATTTGCTTCCAAGTTCCAACCAATACAAATTGTACTAAGATGAGCGAATGAGTCACCTATAGTTGAAAACAAATGTAAGCACATATTTAGAAGAGTACCTACGTGCTAAATTACTTATTTTTTGTACCAACTGGAAAACTTTATGTATAGTTCCCTTATGTATTTAAATTTATTCAGTTACAATATACTAATATATATGGTAATAATATTATATGCGTAATACGTCACCACATTAGTATAAGGAATGATTAGGTAGCATCGAAACGAAGCTGTAGACTGTAGTTAATCTTGTTACTTCAACCAAAAATATAAGAAAATATTTATTCGACATAGGACATTTTTCATTTATTTGAATCTATACTAACGAGACTTGCAAAGAGGTAAATTTGAAATTTATCATTATTTCTTATTTACGTGAGCTTGTTTATCAGTAGATTATAAAAGTCCTCACCATTCGCGGTGTAAATAAAACATAATGATAATTCGGACTAAACTATAAATGTCTTATTCTTTATTCGTACATTCATCTTAATTCTTAAACGTTTTAACAACAAAATTAAAACAAATAAAATCACATAAATAAGTGGTAAAATCCAAAAATATGCATAATGAAATTGTGTATTTAACTGTTCTTAATAGTATAAACATTTACTTTAAAAATATAAAAATGTTTTTAATATTATCAATTGATTTTAATTATTTTTTTATTGAAATATATGTACAATTAACAAATAATAATATTATACTTCTATAATTATAATAACAATATGAGATAAATAATTTAATTTCGAAACCGTTTTAAAAATATATGCTACTATTTTTTTTTGGTGTTACCTATTTAATTTTTTTGTATACTTTTCAAAGAAATGTATAAATTATGTAAACTTATACTATGTAGCAATTTAAAGTGTGCAATACAACAATAAAAGTAAAAAAAACACATAGAACGTTATGTTGAAAGATAAAACACAAATTGAACGATTTGATACAAGTTCAATTAACTAATTTTTGTAAATATAAATGTTTATTCCAAATACAGTTTTTATTTTGAGTTAAGCTAAAATTGTTTTTTCCAATTATGAATAATATTATTATATAGCATCAAACTATTTAAATATTTATTTATATAAATGCTAAGCGGATAAATTGTTAATATCCATGTATCGTTATTTTAGTTAATTGGTATATTGATAAATTGTGTATAAATACTACCCACCTATATAAATTATTGCATAATATATTTCGTGATGCTGAATAATTATTGAATAGTGTTTATAACTTAAAAAAATGATAAATGTCATAAAAAATAATTATGTTACAATTTATTTATAGTAATATTATCATTAAATTTAATTTTCATAATATAACATGATTCTAGTGGGTTAAAATTATATCGTTTTTACTTTTTAGACCTCCCACTGTACTAAAATTGCGAGGCTTTGGCTAATATGATTTTAACTTGTAGTAAAAACCTTAAGACTTTTTGACATATTTTCTAAAATGTAATCAAGGTGTTTTTAAAATTAAACTTCGGACATTGTTATAATTAATCAAAATGTCCATATTTTAAACATTTTCACTTGTGCATAGCCCAGGTGAAAATTCATATTTCAAAAAACGCCAAGATGAAGTATTACAGAAGAGACGTTAAGCAATATTAAGGTGTTTAAAGAATTAAAATCGGACATGCTAAATTATTACAATTTGTATCACAGTGGAATAATGTTTCGGTTCAAAAGTGATTTGGTATGCAGTTGTATTTTCATTATTTTGACATTTTCTTTTTCTGCACTAAGTAGATTACCCAGATCTGATAGATTCTAAAAACTTGAGATTTCAAAAATCTTTCCGTACCTTATAGCCAATTAAACGTACAATTATTGAAATGTCTAGGGCTCCATCACATCATCAGAAATTCACCACGAGTACTAAAAAAAAACATTCCAAACTCAGTGCAAAAGCTGGTAAAAATGTATGATATTTGTCCAATTCACATAACAAGGAATGTCCTTAGCTGTAACTAAACTAAAGAACGACAAATCTGATGGTGTAGAAGGGATTTCGCCAGTGCTTTTCCAACAATTTAGGAAATACATACTAGATCACGGTTAGTTTCCTTGTATAATAACATCCTAGAAAATGAAAAAATCTCTTCAATCTCCATAAATTTCATGATTTTCACGTATCAAGTGTAAATACTAAAAGAAATCATGCGATAGTATAATACATAATAATATGATACTAGACCACAAAATTCCAAATACAGAATGTACCAAATACTTCCAATCTATATTCTATTTCAACAAAGTGATAACATCGTTATATCTAAAATATACTGTTGCGGTAGGTATATGTATACTATTCATATAATAATCTATACATATAAAATCCAAATACCACTTAGTCACTGATCGCTGTAACTCAAAAACTATGCAACGTACGAACTTGAATTTTGGAATAGAGGTTCTTCTCATATTTTCATTGTGCAAAAAGAAGGATTTTCAAAAATGTTGCGTTTTAGTGGAGTAATTAACAACTATAATTATTCATCGCCAATACGCACTGTGCTGCACGGCACGGACTCGGCGGGTTTCCAACTACTCGTAACCTATCCTTTTTGTCCGGGCGTCAACAATAAGAATATTGTTCCGAGAAGTTTATCGATAAAAATAATCTCATGTATCGCGCGTACACCAGTATATATACTTAATATACCAAAAGGACTTTTCCGGGCAACGCTGGGTAATTCAGCTAGTAACTCATAAATACTGAGCTTGAAGTGCGATCAACATTCACCGAGTTGTATTTTTAAATGTCAATAATTTTACCGATGTATGACCGGATACAGACGGTTTAAAAAAAAAATATTACATTCACTACGAATTTCGGTATAATATGTTGTCATTCGCGAGTGTACGGCACAATTTAACGACTGCGGACATACCTTAATATAAATATATATATTATGATCAAACATAACTCTGGAAGCCCAGGAACAATCAATCATATTTGCTCACCCATTCACTTTGCACACCGTATTCAAGTTGGTTACCCCAACTTTTATGGATTGTCGTAAAATATAAAATTGTTCCAGTCGTTTGTTTTTCGATTGTCAAGAAATTTAATTGATTTAAACTATATTATTAAGCCAGTCACGCTCACAGATGAGGGGCAAGGGTTATTAACTTTTAGATTAAGATAAAATGAAATGTTAACATAAATTCATTACCTACTTCAGAGCTAATTTTGTTTTTATTTATTGAACAGTAACATGAAATACTGGACATTTAATATTATGTATCATTATTCAGGTAGGAATTGAAAAACTGAACGACGTCCAACAACATAATGTAATGTTTGGACATTTTAGTAGAGAAATTTAATCATTGCATAATTGGACAGCATAACGAAGTCCTCAGGAACCAGAGGTATGCCCATAATAATAAATGCTGATATATTTTGGTAAGTACCTACATTTTTATGGCTGAGTATAATCACAAATAATATTTTTTGTTTAAATTAACTATTTTGTTTGTGGATATAATGTTCTTTATTTTTAAAAAATGTGTTTTTATAATTTAAACATTAAAATATACTACATATTTTCAGTAGGTAATTTAAATATCGTGTATTATATTTTATCAGGCGAGTGAACCATAGCTATTATTTGAGCTAGCTATGCTCGTTGATACATACAACGATAGTATAGGTACAATGTACCTGGTACATGCATAATCAATTCAAATATCATTATTTATTACATATTTAAAAAAAATAAACAATAGTAATTATAAAAGATTTTATAATATAAGTAACCTCAGCAAATCATTATTTTTTGGATTGAGTTATAAAATAGAGACTTGTGTTGCATTTGAAGATAACAATTATAACTTTTTTTGAAATCATGGTTATTGTTGTTGAATATGTTTATATTAATAATCAGTCAATATTTAGGACTTGTATAAAACGATTTTTTTTTGGATTTTCATTAAATTGGCCAAATTATTATGGCTGTGTTGTAATAGGAAACAAAATTACTTAATTAATAATATCATAAAGTATACATTTACGCCGACGGACTGTCTTCGGCGGGAATCGTTTTTCGTGTATAACGAATTTATGTCATCTATATAAAAAATAACACTTAATTTATAGTTATAATACCAGTAAGAATAGCTTGTATGTCTTGCTGATATATAAAAAAAATACTATTTTTTGAATTGTTTAAAAGGTTTGTTGAGCAATTTTTTCTTGTAAATAAACCATTATGTAATAAAAGAAGTAATATATATAAATAAAATAAAGTAAATTACTTTACCAGCTTTAAAATAAATAATGTAATAAGTTATATTTTAATCGTGTTCCGTAGCTTTGTCTGATGTTTTAATATAATATAGCTTAAATCAAAAAAGTTTATAAAAAGTTGATTAATATTGTACATTTACTTCAATTTTGAAGTAATAAATTCTCCGTTTAAGGTTAGTGGTGTAAATAACACAAACAAATTGCTTACTGTCTGTGTAATTGCCAATTAGATAATCTGCCGAGGTATTACTTTTGTTTTTGTATTTCTTGATTTACCTGATTTTTTTTTAAGTATAATGAGTATCCTAACAACTATTGTGTTGCAGAATTTTAAAAGTTTTTGTTAATTTCAATAACTTCTTCATTATGATGTAAAAACCTTTCATTATTAATTAATTATTGTTATTTACTAACAGTTCATATTTCTTATTGGTTAATATAATATTGATATTGCTTAATATTGTAAAATGTAAAAATAATATAAATTATTATTGATTTATGCTCATGCAATTAAAGCACAGTTCTATTACTAAGTGGTCTCAAATTCGAACAATACAACCATTTTTCCAATCACTCTGAGTATGATAACTTCCGCACTTTTATAACTCCACGCTACACTCGGACCTTAAAATCGAATTAATTAACCAATTTACAACCAAACATTACGGATTTTTTTTACTTCAAACGACATTTTCCTACTAACCCTGTAAGTATGGCAAAGATCATCCAATACACAACCTATAAATCCCACCCACTGACTCAAGAGAAAATATTGTAGAGATTTATTAACCTAAAATGTATCTGGGTTCCATCACTTGTTGGCTTCTCTCATCATATAATTCACAGTTAAAATGTATATAAATCATCATATTTGCGTATTGTGCTATTCCAACACAGTTTGTAAATATTTTTCCTCCTAGTCGTCATACGAGAATTTATTATTTTCAATTGAACAATAATATTTTATCGTGCATTTTAAAAATATTTTTCTGTTTGTATTATATTATTAATACTATTATACTATGACGTGAATACGTTTGTATATTTTTAAAATAATTGTAATTAAAACTTAAAGACTACTTTTTAAATAGTCATTGTACACATACATATTGTTGGTTAAACTTTAAAATTACAATTACTCGGAATTGTTGAACTCCAACAATTATGACAGAAATGTTTTTTTTTTTAAAACAGTACGAGAAAGCTGCCACCTACTTAAATTCTAAAAAAAGATTTGAATTGTAAAACTCGGGAACATAAGTGACGTTTGATAAAATAATTGTGCTCCATGGTGACACATTGTTCTGATTTAAGATATTATGCGGTGTGCTGAAAACTACGATATGGAAACATCGGGTGAGATGAAGGATTTTAATGCGCGCTTTTAATGATTTTGGATTTACCTTTGTATGGCGCATACGATGTCGGTGGGTTTGAGCACGAGCACGAACGTGATGAGATAGCACAGCAGTATGCCGGACAAAAGTACGTACGAAACTTCTCTACCGGCGGCCTTCACGATCGGTGTGTGATTGTGTTTGATAAACACAGAAACCACTAGCAAAGTGATGACAACACCTGCCGCTGACAGTGTCATTGCTCCAATCGCCCAACTGCTTCCGGCCCGTAAAAATGATTCCGGTATGTCCAAACACCGTTCGCGGCTACTGTCGGGTAACGTGCCCTCGGCACAAACTTCGCATCTGGTCTCGTCGGTAGATGAACGGATCTGGAAAGGTGGTCACGTATATCATTAATCATTATCATACTGTGATTTCAATATGCATAGGTAGGTATACAACGATCTGATAGAATTCATAGACAACTTCATTGACACTCGTCTGTCACCTATTTAATTAAAACAATCGTTCCAGACTAAGTAGGTACGTTGTAACTAAATGGTATACCTACGTCATTGGTTAAGTGTATTATAATCTTTGAATAATAAGGAAGGTATCGATTATTATACATTGTTTCTTTGATAAACAAAATATGCTTACGAGTCGTATTGTATACAATTAGAAATGTGTACGATTCACATGAATAAAAAATCAGGCCATGTTAGTTAATAAGAATAGATTTAGATTGCGCTTTATAGAAATGTGAACAAATAAATAATTTTGAAGCTATTATTAAAAGAAAATGTATGATTATAATTTTGAATTTGAAGTATGCATATCAAAACATTTATAATAGCTACTTATTATTTATGTTTTAGTATTTATATTATATAACTATGTAAGCTATTACAAATATTAGAAAATGTAATTATTAAATTCTTCTATTATCTTTCAGCTAGATACATATTATTTTCAATTTTGCGACTCATCTCATCACATCCTAAACTAATATTATTTATGTAATGTTAACTATTTTCCTAAATCGTTGCCTCTTACCAACCTATTCTTACTCACTTTAGAATTTGCAGGAAATGAAAATCTAAACGAAATGTGAGTGTACTTGAACATTTAATAATAAATATTTTTCAGCTACAATATTCCTGTATTTAATTGATTTAGTGTAATATTTCATACTAAACGTTTGTAAATTGATGTCTAGTGTCTACTTCTGCGGAGTCATACGCATGTAAATAATTAAATTCTGCTGTGCAGAAAATCAACAACACACAGTGAATTGGATTCTCTTTACTGAACTGAAAATTATTAAATGCATTACAGGCTGATTGCAAAATTATTAAACGTTCTAGATATAATATTTACAGTTGATATATTACACGTTTTTCGATATTTAAATTAATCAAGTAAGCATGTTGCAAAATATTTCAATTTTTGAAGCTCTTAACCCTAACACGTCATTCGAAGGAATTTAAATCAATTTTTGTCATAATTTATTTTGAGTTGTAATTTTTTTTTTTTGCATATTTGACAAAATAGTTTATTGAAAATAACATACTACAGTTATATAAAAAAATATGTATTCTGAGGTTCCCTTATAATTTTTAACGATAAAATACAATACAGAGATGAAATAAAATAGAAAATAACAAACTATAATTATATAGTGTTCGCATCGCTGTATACATTTTAAATCATTATTGTCAGTTACCTACTACGAATCGATAACAATACATTTATGATAATAAATTGGATTATATTTTCAGTATCGCAGTGAAGTAGATATATGGTAGTAAAAGTGACGCTTTCTTAAACTCAAAATTATTAGTTATAAAAATATGTGAGTTGTACTTAGAAGTTGAATATCATAAAATAAATAACTGTTAATTTAAACAAAATGTATTGCAACTGAACGTATATTAAGATAGTTGAATTGGGTTTCAGGTGTCAAAAGAATAATCTGCTAAATAAAAAATAAAAATGCTATGTTTAACTTAATATTATAATGTTGATTTAATGTAAACCCTAATGATAGCTTATACTCATAAATAATGCCTACGTAGCTGATGCTTAACATTAAATCAAAATGAAAAGATAAATTATAAATACTTTGTTCTCGTATTAATTTTATGAAATAAAATATTTAACGGTTCCTGGTAAATATAATATTTACGTTGACAAGCGCTAACATTATTAGACATAATCGTCCAATATCCCTGTAGTAAAATTATGTTTGGCTGAATTACTGTTCGACATTTCGTTCAGAACAATACAATTTATTTTACGAACAATAGGTACAAAAAAACACACATGCTTCGTGAATACCCTATGCAGAATATTAAAACAAAAAAAAATCTAAAAACTAAATTAAAATGTTTAATTATTCACGTAGGTAGAGTTAAAAAAAAATACGATATCCTCACATGACGTTAAAAAAAAAAACAGATAAAACGAACCAAATACTGGGGTTTATACTGAAACGATATGTTGTAAGAATAAAAATGAATAAGTAGAATTATTATACCCAATATTTCTTATTTATTTTTACGCCTAATGCGATGTCTATGGTTTTCGAATACATCGACTAATGAGTTATGGAAATGGTATCGCGTTATTGTTTATTTTTCTTTATTAAAAACAATGTCTTGCCTGGTATTGTGTGCAGTTGAAACAGTGCCAACAGCATTTTTCGCCCTCCAGATATTGCTTAGCTTGGCCTTTTTGGCACGGCAAACTGCAAACGGATTCCGGTGGATTTGATGAGTCTGTTTTGAACCGCATCTCTTCGGAGACCAATACACACACACATATATTAAATCGTTATGATTAGCTCATATAAACTATTATACACTATAGCATACAGGGTAAAGGTCTGTTAGTCACATTTTATATTGTGTTTAAAGACAGTGGATCTATTTAAAGAAAATATTTACACTAGGTTATTCCGAAAAATAAATATATCAATTTTTACTTTTTTAGGGTTTTTTTTTATCTCAATTGGCAACCTTATATTTATTTTTATTTTATAAAAATAGTTTTCATATAAATTTGATCTGACATTGATCCAACAGTCTAAATAATTTATAAGCTCTAAAGTTTACTAAAGATGGGTGGAATGGCAAGAGATAATATTCATTTTTTTTTCAAATAATAAAATACTCCATAATGTTCCTATAATACATCAAAATTTCTAAAAAATATTCTGCTTTAAGATATAAAATTTTATATAAATACGAATTACTCCATAAAACACCCTAATAAATCTCTGTGATATTAACATGTTATTTTTTGTTGCAAGGTTATCAAAGCAAATTAAAATTTACTAACCATATTCACTATACAAACACTATATTATAAAATTATTAATATAATATTGTAATTAATAAATATCTAAACAAATATAGATGATCTTTAAGTGTTAAATAGCTGTAATTTGTTATCAAAATATTGATTTTAAGGTTTCATTGTAACTCTTTGCCCTCAGTAGATTATCTCACACCGTTAAAATGTGAAACAATAATGTTCTCGATTGGACAAAGAAATCGTTTAAAGTATAGATACACAAAAATAATTTACTTTAAAAACCCATAATAAACCTATATACAAAAACTCCCTACTGTACTACTTCACACCCAATGTTGCTATGGGTTCCCCCTAATAATAATAAAAAAAAAAAATTAACTTTCAGTAAATTTTTTTTCTTATACAAGTAAACACTGATACAAAAATAAAAATATTACAATACATATTTTTTTATTTCATAAAAATGAAATACTGTACAATTTATCGTTGTATCAATGTTTTTCAGACATTTATGTTTGCACTATATTATTTTGAAACAATTATATCTAAGTATTATTTTCATTATTCTGAGTATTTTTGTTGTGTCTTATACTTTGCAAGTTGGCAAGAAACAAGAAACTAATAATTATTTATACCTTTCTAGATTAATGTATAATGTCAAATGTTTAAATAAGATGTTAAAATGTTAATGTTTTAACACTTTAAATCGATTTTCATTAATGGTATACAATAATTGCATTATACAGTATTTCACGACCAATAATATTATTATACATAATATTATCATAGTCCAGCTTGTACATGTCTAATGTGTATATCATACAATTGTGTATAAAATCCTTAAAATATTGTGCTAGGGCTGACGTGGAAGTGTTTTCATATTTTAAAAACGAGCCACCTTCACCAATACAGTGTATTAAATGCGTGCACAATTTGGAGTGAAAGTTTTAGAATTTGTGCACGCAAGACCAAAGTTAAGACATAATATTATGTCTAATGTATCTATTTATATACAATATACATATAATATCATATCGAATGCAAATATGCAACAACCCTCGACCTATATCATGAAAACAATAATAATTGATACCATTTTCGTGTTTTTGGTTAATGCCGCGATAAAAATAAAATCGAGTCATTATTACAAAGTTCCGCACGTATCTCTGTATTCACGTAAAAAATAAGACCCCCAGTACAAACTACAAATCCATCGCTAATGTTTTACCTATATAAAATAATTCATGATATAGATTATAGATAAAGCTACAGCGATATAAATATTATTATCAAACATCGCAGTAAAAACGCTATAGATTAGTTATACACATTTATTATGATTTATTTATGGCGTATAATGATTTAATACAATTGTATTAGTTGTTACTTGTTTTTATTTCTTATTTCATGTTTTTATCATTGTTTAATGTTATTTATAACTAAATAACCTAAAACATCATATACATATTTATCACATTTGTTTTTATAAGTTTCAAATGATTGGTTATGTAGAATTTTTAGGTTAGGTTAGGTTACTTTACAATTTTTTAAAATTATTTTTCACGAATTAATTAGATAATCAGTTGGAAATCAACCAATCTATACAATATAATATATAATTATATAATTTTTATCTTTAGATTTCATCAACGCTTACTGTATTTTTAAAATTTAAAAAAATGTACATTGCATTGTTCAACAATCACCTTATTTAAACCCTAATATTACATTTTGATTGTATTTATATTTCGCTCGTCTGACATGAAGGTGTTTTAAATTATTTAGTTGATACATTTATACACCATCATAGAATATAGTTACGTATGTGTAAATTGCATTTATAAAAAATATGTAAACATATTCATAGAACAAACATAGGTATGCAATGTACAGTTAATTATAATATATTTATTTAATTCAATTATAGGTTTCAATTTTTAGTGAAGAGTTTCATTTGAGTGAAGTTTCTTTCGAAATAAATTAAAATTATTTTACCATTATGTACTATTATAATATAGAGATTAATTTTAAAAATTATCGTTATTTGTCGCAAAACAGTATAACTGGAACAACATTGGTCATACCCCAGACTCAATATGCAGTCAATGTGTGTGTATTTATATTTGCTTTTGAAGACCTGGGTATGACAGTGAAAGCTCGGTTAAAGAATCATCTATAAAATTAATGCTCATACGTTTCGAGCACAATATGATGTATTATAGTGTCAATATGGTTGAGTGACTGATTGCGTACTTGATATTGACTTCATACCTACCCGAATCAATGGTAAATGATTGTTATTTGGTGTCAAACTGGCAGTAAAAATATCGTACTAAAAGAACTCTACGGTCCGACGTTGTTCTAGATTACACTAGTGTTTCAATGTCTATTCTCGACTCTTTTTGTGTACTCGTATTATAATATAGTTTTTCCACTGCGTCGCGGCTATTTTATTTATAAATAAAAGCTTTATTGGGGTTTTCAACATTTTATTATCAAATTTAAGAATAAACATTGATGAAAAGACTTCGAATTTGTATTGTTTTTTAAACAAATATATTTATATATATCAAATGTTTCAGTATAGAACGTTTTGAAAACTATTGTGTTTCTACATCAAATTCAACTGTTTTAATCAATTTCCAACTTTTATTCCATATTATTATTGCCAAATACTATTTATTTTACTGCATCGCTGAATTTTGAATAACACAATTATTACAAAAAATATGAACATAAACATGTAAGGTACATTATTAAAACGGAATATAATACAGAGACTTATATATTAGAATGTAAAATAATTTACGAGTTATGAGTTATTTACCTATCATTATTTATTCACGAAGTAAACTAACAGAAGAACTTGACGAAAAATATATTTATAAGTACCCTCAATGGAATACTAAAGAATTACAGAGGAAAACATCCATTGTGCCCAAATCAACTCGTAAAAAAGTTCAATCATGCATTTCCTATTATAAATTGAATATTAGTTATAGGGATGTTTTTACCAAAATTATATTTTATTCATAGAATTTCATTTCCGAGAGATAGGTATACATTATAAAGAAAATTATTCAATGTATTTAAAAAAAACAATTAATTTACTATGTTAATAATAGCAATGACCTCTTAAGTATTTAAAATTTTATTGAAAACAGAATTAACATGCACAAAATATATAAATATATATTAAAAAAACATTTGCAATAAATGTCATTTTTGCTATAGTATTCTACTTTTATACTTCCCAATGAATGGTAAATGCTGAAGCCAAACCCATTTCCTAAAGATTGAAATTTGGTGTTCATTTTAGACTTGTTTTTTTTTTAGGCTTAATACAATTACTTTTCAATTATAAAGTCTTTATCATTAAAAGTATTAAATTATCTGGTAAACATGTTCATTATTAAAATAACATATACAGAGTTGTTAAGACAAACTTGAAGGTGTACCATGTATAATTAATTATGGGTATAACACAATTATTAATTTTATTTTGTAAATAACTGTTAAAAATACGCAGGAGATTTGTAAGGTACCTATTCATTATGTATTTGTCTGAATTGTAATATATGTAGACTGTAACTGATGTAGATAATCGTAAAACTACGAGAACACTGACGAAATTTTGATATTAGATAGTTAATAATAATACAATTTTATATAATTAACTTGGTACAACTCATCTATCTATCTATATTATTATTAAATGTAAAAAAAAAAACATAATTCATGTTTATTTGTTTTTAAATTGTATTAATATGAAATCAGCTATGTTTATGACTATAAAATATTAATTACTTATAAAATGAGTTTAAAAAAATATATATATACAACTGTTCATTTTATAGTTTTTGATTTACTTCAACTCAAAACAAATAGAAATTAATATACTTATTAAATTTCGAGTTTCTCCAATGATGTATGACGAATTAATGTTAATATTCTAAAATTTGAATTACTTACTAATTTCTTGGTATCAAGTATTTACACATAATTAAGTAATAATAGTTACTTATCTGAGTAAAATTAATAGAATTAATATTATTCCAGTGCAGATAGAGTTACCTACATAACATAAAAGCAATGAAAAATTCCATAACATTGATAGTCAAATAAAATATTTAAAAAATAAGTAGACCAACTATTTCTGTTTTGCTTGCATTAGGGACGGACCTTCAACCAACGGACGCAATAATTTTACCATAAAATATAGGTTATTCTTTATTTATTTTTTTATCATTATTAGTAAGTACCCCACTCACTGAAGACTGAACTCGTGTTGACACGTTTCCATAAGAAAGTGACCTAAATTTACTTGGCATTCGAAACCACAGATAACATTTTTTTTAATAAACCATTGTGTTTTTCAAATTATCTCGTTATCCAATACCAATATAAAAGCAAATGAAAATCTCAGCTTATCAAAAATGGAGCTCATACAATTTTCAAATTTTATCTTTATACAAATATAGACACTCAATCTAAAGGATTTTATCTTGGTACATAAGAAAAAAGATCGAACCGAGTGCTTGAGTTATATTACTTGCCATTAATTATTATGGTTCAGTGTTCTCAAATCGAACGAAAACCAATCAACGGGCAGTATATTATAAAGAAACAAAAAAAAAATCAATGTGATTCAAGAGGACAACACACGCCCTTATTAGGAACTATCTTCGTTTACCCCTCGCGGAACATTACACAACCCTCGTTCGTATAATCAAAGAAGATATATTCTTAACATTTAGTTTTAAACGAATACATGAGCTTACTAAATACTAAAATAATTAAAGAGAACAGCATTTTTCACGCCTGACCTTTGAGATTCATATTTCATTACACATATATATAATATTTGTATTTTTTTTTAATGTATTTATTTTTATGATGTGCGCTAGTTTGTGTCACGCACAAAATGTGATAGATGTATCTTGGAAATTGGAACTCGAGTTAGTAGGTACTTGAAAATGTAATGTTATACGAAGGATGATCAAAGATGTTAAAATTGTCTGGCGGTGTATTATTGAATTAATACTGCAGACAACAAACAATAATGTCACGTAGTATTCAGTAATTGCGATTATTATAATTTTGTAACCATATCGTATAATACCTTATAATATTATGTCCCCTGGGAGTTTCGTTTCCATATGGTAACCAATGCTATAACCTATTGATTTTATAAAAAATAAAAAAAATCGAAATATTACTGAATTAAGCTCCACGGAGATATCATAATTGCCTTTAATACAGTACATTTTTGTTGATTTTGAATTAAATACATTATTTTTAATATTTTATTTTATATAATATACTTTACGAGTAATATTGTACCACATACGACCCAGGAGATTATCATTTTGTGTTCGCTATATGCTTAAAGTAGTTTTTGTTTTAAAAGGAATCAAACGAAACAGTAATAAATATATGTATCTAATATTATATATTTCTGTATAGGTGTTTATAATTACACTAAAATAACTACACCTTAAATTATTAATGAATGGAATTAAATAAGTGTGTTTTTAAAAAAAATCGTGTTCACAAATAATTACAACTTTATTATGGATTAAACAGTAAACAAAACGTTTATTCAAAGTGCTTTATCTATACCGCTATTGTGTTCGTATTATATTCATGTGATTAACCCTTTTTTTAAAAAACAAAAAAACCTAATACATTTTTTTTCTGCCATTTAGTGCCTACAATGCAACTATAATGCCATAATGGTCAAAAAGTAAATGGAAAATAATGACCTCCACGAATAGTTTAAGTTACAAAAAACAATGAAATCAATAAAAATTGAAATTACGTGACTAATCATGATCATAATCATAATTTATCATAGATTTTTTTTGAAACTAATTAAGTGTAGAATAATTAAAAATAAAATATATTATTTAACCAGTTACAAACAATATCATTTGTTTTACAATTATTCTACTGAAGTGACAACTGACAACCAATACATTGTAAATGACGGGTCCTATACTAAATTTAAAGAAGAATGGTTCGTAATTTACATAATATTACATTTATAACAAATGTAGACAGCGCATACCTATATTTGTTTGCATTTATAATTCCGGTAGCCGGATGTCTTTAGTGACTTATATAATAGTCACTTGTATAATTCAATTATATCACAATCATATAGGTCAGGAGTAGATCTGATATTTCCACACGTGGACCTCTCAAAATAAAATAAGTCAATTCCGTCAAACCATAAGTTAGTCGCCTTTTTAAAGATTTTTAAAGATTTTTAATATGTTTGCTGGTAGGAAATTAAATCTAGTTGATACTTTAGGGTGCCAAAAAAAAAAAATTAACACTAATTTTCAAAAGCACCGGGAAAAACAAAACAAAATAAATTAAGAAAAAACAGAAATTTTTTACTTAAAACTAGTTTTAGACAAAATCAATTAGCTTTAGAAATCGCTTTTTTGTAGTAACTCAAAAAACCGTAGATAAAAAATAAGGTATTCATACAATATTAATTATTAACACATGTATGACAATAAGCCACAAGGCGCCTAATGTACAGTAGAGCAGTGCCCATTTGTCCATTTTTTTTAATACTCTGATTAGCCAAGTTTTTAGTTGTAACCTCATAGTTTCAATACAAAAAATATTGGTCGAATATACCTATTATATGATATAACAAAATACATAAAATGTACAATATAACATAATACTAAAACTTTGTCAGAACTTTATACTTATACCATATTGTCTTCTAAATAGCAATTTATGTTCTATGATCAAATGGTAATTTAACTTTGTCTTGTCGAAAAATTTACGATCTACAAAACAATCTGTAGTAAGACATTTATCGCAGGTACAACTAAACAGCACACTATTTAGTTTGTATTGTCGAGAAACAAATATAATATTTACATCATGGGTAAAGATTATAGTCGATTCTTTGAACTCAGAATAACTATTTAGGATGGTTCACTAAGCATATACTCATGCTACCGTTTTTCCGCTAATAAAGTATTTATATTTAAATTCCGATTTATGGAACTTTTAAATATACTTTAGGAAATCATTTAAAATACTCAGATTTTTTTATATCAAAATAAGATGTGTTTTGTGAAAAATCAAAATTCTTTTTATGGAATTAAAATCATTCGTTTTTCTTGTAAATTGTTGATCAGAAAAATGTTTGAACATTTTGTTGTGTCAAAATCGAAATTTGGAAAGGTAGTTTTTGAATTATGTATTTTACTTTGTGATCTAAGAATATCAGGTACATTATGGATTTGGAAGATATGGAGGCTATGGTTATTTGAAAACTTAAGTAATTAATATTAATCCATTAATCCATCAACATTTTAGAATTTATAAAAATAAAAACCATGTTTTTATTTAAGTAGAATAACGTGGGTGACATAATACCACTTAAAAACATTCCACATGATGTCCAAATGGATACTAACTACTAAGAGCATCTGCAGCCTATGAATTTGGATGTTTGTCATAAACAGTGGCCCAAATCATCATCCTATGCCCACTTTACGCGTTTTATGGTAAATCAAGAATCAGTGAAATGGACTAGGAACTTAGAATTTTCAATTTAAAATATATACTCCTGAATTTTTTTGAAGTAGATATTATATCTCACTTTCTATATATGTTATTTTATTTTAATGTTTTTATGTTTTATGCACAAAGTGACAAAGTATCAAATTCAGAATATTAATTTATGCTCAACATACCATATTATGCCAGATACTAAAACCAATATTTCATCTATATTTATTTTTATGAAACAATTATTTAGGTCTTTTATCCTTACTAAATATATTTTAATAACTAAAAAACTACTGGTTAGAATATTGGGTTAGAATGTTTAAATACATCAACATATTTTTCAAAAAAAATTTAATTTGGTTAATAATTTACAATAAAAATGTTGAAATAGTTGGTTCTTATTTAGTTTTGATAAAAATATGTTTTACGCCACAGAAGACTGCTTAAATAGTATATATAACCTAAATAATTAAATAATGAACTTTAAGTATCTACTCTAAAAAATTTAAAAAATTTAAACTAAAACAAATGCATTATTAAAGAAATAATGGGTTGAGGATGCTTGACGAATCATTTTGTCGATTATTTTTTATTACATACAAGTAAGTAAAACTAATAGGTATGTTTTTTGGTTTGTTTGATATAAGACGGTTTAATATTTGGTTGATATATTTAATATTATTCTTCGGCCCTTTTTAGTTTGATGAATTTAGATTAATAAATTATAATTATATTTATGCAAAATTAAATAAAACAATTATATTACAATTTATTAATTTAAAGTTTGTGTATTTAAAATTTAAATTCACAGAAAGTCACCATCAACGAAAGTTAATAACGAATGAATTCCTGAAATGTAATAATATAATGTATGATATTTTGCACTTATTATTCTTCTGTTGTAAAACGCATTCCGGTTGTGTGTTTTTATGTCAATGTGTATATCGTATAAAACACATGTCACGTGCACATAAAAATACTTGAAATATTATTTTGCATAAGATCTATGTATAGTTATAATAATAATAACAATAATAATAAAAATAATAATAATAAATGCCTTCATGACCAAGAACGTATGTAAATAGGAATATAGTGTAATATTTACACTGTGGACCATTAATCATTATTACCATCGTATTATATCGAAAAAGTTGGATAACAGAGTTGGTTAAGACAAAAAAATCCACATTTATAGGGCTTTTACGGTTATAAAGTATACGTACTATTATGAAGTAAAAAATACTCACCGTCCATGTTGAGATTGAGCTTGCCGTCTGAGTACACACCGACTTTGATCCATTTAAAAGTGCCCGGCTCCACCTGTTTGAAGTGAATGATATTATAACGGGCTGGTCCGTCCCCGTTGTTATCGAAGTGAAAATTATCGCCCGTGAGACCTGCAACACGTGTAGGTATAACCGTATAGGTACAAATAGTAAACAATATTATTGTAGAAATCTAAGCTTGTAAGATCAGTACATGGCTTAACCAACTACAACAATAAAAATTATGGGTAAAACGAATCGATATAGAAAAAAAAAGGAATACAGTGTACTCCAGTTGATTGGTTGGAAGTGTTTTACGAAAACAAAAAATACTGATGAGTTGCAACATAAAAAAAAGAGCCTGCCGAGAACATATTATTATCACATACGAGGAAAATTGTGTTTTATGTGGTAAGTAAAAAAAAAAAAAATAATAAATAAAATGAAGATATTCGACGAGTAAACTTTTTTTCTTGAAACTAAAGTCGCCAAAATTGTTGTGTTGTTTTTAACAAAAACAACTAGTGAATCAACTTAATGAGGTAACCCCTTTACCTAGTTTCAAACATTTCATTTTAAATAATTAATTGAGTTTTTGAATTTCCCATTCGTTCTTCATAATTTATTCATAGGAAAGCTAATTATATATATGTTGTAATCAAAATTAAAATGCATAATTTGTCCAAAAACTAAAGGTAATACTATTATCATTGACCATTTAAATTGTTTCTAGTTATAAATATATTAGCTTTTTAATTTGCTTTTAAATATAGGCATCAATGTCATCAATATCATCAATATTGGATAATTGTAATATAAAGTGAAACAAATGTGTTTGTACCAACGTGTTTAATTAAGATAATCGATTTGATATCATAAACGAATTGACGAAGTATAAAAATGTTACCTAAATATTATGACTAACCCATAATAATGTTGTTTTGGCTTATATTAAAAATCACAGTAATATTAATTATATAATATTATTTGGTTTAATGCTCTATTAATATGAAGTTAATATTGGATGCATAAAAATAGGATTTTTGGTAGATGGAGAAAATCCATATCGCAATAAAAGTTTTTCTAGTACTCTTACGTATTACATTTTGCTATATAATATTTCTCACATTCAAGATGATTATATATTATGTTTTAAAAAATAGGATTTATATTAATATTTTGTTCACACATTTTAACATCAAATACTTATAACTTATGAGTCAAAGTAATGGATACACATAGAAAAATGAAAAAATACTAATATGATCTTAAATATTGTTATAAACGTATAATATGAATTTCCTTACAATATGTCCTAAGATTTTGCACAGTTTGGAAATATTGTGGTACCGATATAGGTGATTTTTGGCGGACTTGTATCGATAATAAAATAAATAAAATATTCGACAACTGTATTCTTAGGTTTAAAGAATACTAACTGATTGATACCTAAATGTTTTCATAGGAATTTCCGGATATAAGTGTATATTTGTGACATACGGAATTATTTCTTAAGATTTGTTTAGGACAAACTCAAGTTATATTTGTAGATAAGTTTTGTGGCCAAATTTATTGATCCAAAGTTATTTATGGTTGAACAGGGGAATATTATAAAGTTTTGAGGCTTGATATCATCTTAAAATCTTAAGTAAATATTTATATCTGAGAATAAAATTATTAATAAAATAACTTCTTTTATTATTGAAATCTAACAATTTTTATGATTTATTCATGGTGAAATCTAAACGATAAAACGTATTTAAAATGTACACCCTAATCTTACATTGATAAAAAATATGTACAAATATTATCCAAATCAAAAATTAAGTAACAAAAGTCGACCAATTCACAACCAAAGAATTATCATTAATTCGTTTTGTTAAACTATTATTACAATACGTAAGTGCTTGATAACATCAATATAAATCACACAAAACCGTTTATGAGTTTGGAAAACTTAAGGTATAATGATGATAAAGTTCCAGTAAAAATTACTTCATTAATAACGACGACTTATGCCGTCGGGAATAACAAAAATATTCAATAAAACGATTAGATATTATTTATTATTATTTTGAGTTATAGTTGATTAGCATAATACAATTTTTCAGCACAAAGCTGATGTGAACAAGTCGGTTCATAGAATATAAGTGATTAAACGTGGTAAAGGGTTAAGATAATAAATTAAAGGGAACACTGTGTATTTTGCTTTTTAGCCCCTTAATAATATTAATAAAATTGCTTTTATATAGGATAATATTCAAAACTTAATTCAAAGGTTAATTAAAATATGCAAATTATTATAGAACATTCTGAAAAATAGAAATCTCAAGTGAAAAATTGTGTATAATTAAATTACTTAGTTTTTTCAGAAAAAAACCAAGTCCAAGTAAAATTAAAATTGTATAATATTATGCATTGTATGCGAATCCTACAGTATTTTATCTACATTTTTTTTTTTTATGAGATGTAACATTTTATTTTTACGGTAGCTGCTTCGTTTTACATAAATAATTTATGTAGGTTGTGCACACAGCATTGTACAACTATGTGACAATCGACAGTACATTTTACAAACGTTAATTTGCAAATATAGTTATGTATTTTTTTATGATTTAATCTCACCAGATTATTATTTTTATTTTTTTGTATTTTATATTATGATGATGGTTACGCTTCTAGGAAATACTTTAATACTCTCGTGACGCCTCTCCAGTTATTCATCATAATTTTCAAAAATCTAATTTACAAATCAGTATATTTTAGGTTATTTACATTTTAATAAATAATAGGCTCAAATAATATTGTTTCCCTCAAACATAACAATATTGAATACATTTTTTAAAAAATAAATGATATACTTCTACTCGGTATTATATTATACGACACGTATATAATATAATATTATCATTCTTATCATTCTCGTTGGATATTCTTTGTGGAAACATGAACGAACACAAGTTTAAAATGGAAATGATTTATAGTACCTACACATTTATCACCTAATGTGAAATGGAGTGGTAGACAACACACTTGCGTGTCTCGCGCACCACATCATGTTGAAACTGTAACCAACACCCCCCCCCCCATCCTCAGTGTTTGTATTCTTCGTAGGCTGTAGCACGAAACCTGCACCACACTGCGACAGTAAACATAAAAAATGAAAGTAATAATGATAATAATAGTAATAATTAGTACACCATATCGATTATCCAATTTCTGTTTGAAATCCAGAGTATGTTTTTAATATCAAAAGAAACGACAAGCGCGTCTCGTGTACTAGTCCCAGTCGTAAGCATAAAAAATTAAAATCGAGGTTATTTTGACTATGGTCTAACACAGTATTCAGTGCCGTATTTAGGAATGTGGCACCTCAGGTATATAATGAAGTAACGCCCCTTTTCCATTAACATTTAACAAATTAGACATAATTATAAGGTGCTAGGTGACGTCGTTGTTTCCTAGAATACCACAAATCCATAAATAACCCTCTAATTATTTGTTGAATTCTTATAAAGTGCCAAAATGAATCTTATCATACATTTTTTTATAAATTAAAATTTTACTTTTGACATTGACACTGACTTTTATTTTATTTTTTTTTACTTTTACATGGAATTTGGAACCTCAAGCTCAGTCGCACTTTTATGGGAATCAGAATTTGGCGCCTATGGCAGCCCTCCCCCCCTCCAGTTCCCACCCATGCACCCACAAATACGCAACTGACTATATTCTCGGGGTGTTGTTATGTATATTACAACTTCAACTTAGAAAAGGGTCTGTAGGAGTGCTGAATGCTATCATAAATCACAAAACCAAAGTGCATAAATGCATAATAAACGTACTACAACGAGGTTGCATACAACGAACAAAAAATATAACTAAAAAGCTCTTAAGTTCATTGGATACACCACCGCCATATGTTTCGTCTGTTGACTAGGATACTATTATAATTTACACCGAGGGCACACCATCGCCAGATCGAGTGATCTATATCAAGCAATATCGTCTCTTTCATTTACTCACTTTTATTAAAATCTCTCATCGTCACTTGACACCGATATTTTATTACTTATATATTTCTGCAAGTCGATAAACGATACCAATATTATATACCCTGTGTATATATACATGAATAGGTACACGTCACACGCGATACATATTATATTACGTCCAAATAATGTTGATATATACACCTGATGTTATGTAAGAGCGTGACTATTTTTCTTTATTATATGTTTATATTAAATTATATTATTCGTAATCTGAGTATTTTATCGAGCACGTAATTTTTTACGATATTATACGCTTTGAGCGAATTGTCTCGATTGATCAGCTGTTAGCTATTCACCTTCTTCCATCAACGAAGCGTAGGTGGAAGGCAACGCTAAAAAAAATATTGGACGATCCCAACTCGGTAATTCGTGTTTAATACATTATTCAACGAAACAATTTGATTATTTACAAAATGGGGTAGAGTCAAATTTGTACCCTCGCTTGAATGTTAAAAATAAAGTTTAATAATATAGCCGATGCCTAAGGCTTGTCATTTTCAAAATTCTAAGTTATGGACTAATATTTATTTAAAAGTTTTTGTAGGTTTTCGTTTTGCACTATTCCACGTCTAAAAATAAGCCATAAATCCAAATTGTTTTCAGCTGCAAGCCATGTCGCCGCCATATAGGTATCTTGATTATGATTTATACAGTCCAATACAAATTAACCAGTACAAGTTTTTTGAACTCCTTTTCTTCAAACAAAATACATTTGGTCGAACGTAAACAATTATATTACAATAATATACACACTACAGGTGCTGCTTACAGTGTAAACAAATAATTAAACTTTCGAAGTTTTCAAATAAGTTAGAGTACTAAGATAAATGCGACTTAAATTAACAAAATATTTTAGCATGAAACAACAAACGTAAATACTATACACAAATAACAAATTACAAGAATACACATATATTATACACATATTATTAAGTTGATATTAAGATGTTCATAAATTGCATAAAATATGATAATCCATTAAGCTTAAATTTGATCGTTGAGGATGTATTTTCATTATTATAGAATTGTATTTTGCGGTTATAAATCGTTAATTTAATTTAAGTATAAAATTCATAG